AGGAGGAGGAGGAAGGAGGATGGAGGAGGAGGAGGAGGCGGAGGAGGATGGAGGAGGAGGAGGAGGAAGAGGAGGAAGGAGGATGGAGGAGGAGAAAGGAGGAGGCGGAGGAGGAGGAGGAGGAGGCGGAGGAGGAGGAGGAGGAGGAGGTGGCATGTACCGTCTCCGCCGCGCTGCGACGTAACACAATTCCTCGGCACGGCCCGGGCGCGCCGCCCCAGCGGCCCACACGCCCCAAGATGGCTCCCCGCCCCTCGGCGGGCCGGCGGCTTCTCGCTGCCCTTCGGCGCGCACGGCCCGCGGCCCGAGGCGCGGCCCGCCTCCGCCCGCGGCCCGCGCGGACCCGCCCTGCCGCGGTCCCTCGCCGCCGGCCGTCGCCGACCGCGCCCGCCGCTCGCTGCCTTGGCGCTCGTCGCTCGCGCGCTCGATCCTTCGAGTAGGGGATCGACTACAAGATTGCTTCGCCTCGAAGTATCGAGTTTTCCCCGCTGGATCTACGACACATCCGCGCAGCATGCCCCGCAGATCTGCGTACGGTCCGTGCGTTTCTTGCAGAGTCGTCGGGCAAGTCAGCTCTGGCGTAAACCTAGCTGATCCCCTGATCGCAGCATCGGCGCTCGCGCACGCGCCGCTCGCCGCTCGCCGCCCTCTGGCCCGGCGCTGGTCGCTCGCTCCCTCGCTCACGCCCGGCGCCGCTGGGATCGGGGGTGCAGAGGTGGTGTCCAGCGGGATGGGGCCCCGAGGCTCCATAGGAAGGCACCAACTATACACCAACACCGATCCTGGCCCAGGATCACCCTGGGCCCAGGATCGGTGTATACGCCCTCCTGCCTTGCGCAAGAAGGTATATACACCGATTCTGGGCCCAGGGTGATCCTGGGCCAGGATCGGTGTTGGTGTATAGTTGGTGCCCTCCGACTCCAGGTTTCGGCCACGCAGAGGGGGGCACAGTCAACCCGCATAAGAACGATGTGCGACTTTCCCAAGGGCACCCTTGCAGCCTTGCCTCCTCGGCCCATCCCCGGCCGCTTCCGCTGGCCGCGCCCCGCTCTTGAAAAGTTTCGACGTGTGCGACCAAAGCCCTCGCATCCTCATCGCTCATCCTTATGATACGGGCCGACTGTGCGGGGGAAGGGGGGCAGGCTGCTCAGAAGCACCCCTGCTTCTCACAAGGCGCCGGCACTGTCTGCAGATGAAGGGTGCGTATTTCAGACGCACCCGCCTGAGAAGCTTTTGCCCCTCCTCCTACCCCCATGCGCGCGCCGCCAACTCCAGGCTGAAGGTACGTCGCTCAGGGCCCCATGTTCTAGGAGAGACATGTATGCACAGACAAAGAATCGTCGACCTCCAGGATTAAGGAAGGGAACGTATTGGAGATGCAGGGGAATAGTAACCTCCAGTTAGTACGTATCGATCTCAGGAATCTTGAACTTCGTGTTTAGTTTGGACGCTTCGCGTAACCCCACCAGCACATCCAGAAGCGATGCCCAGGCCAGTTGCCCTGATCAGGCAGGGGGGGTACGTAATTAGTGGAATTAAAGCTAGGAAGCCGTCATGCCCAAAGAGGGGGAGAACGTTCTACCCTCTTAAAGGATTGCCCCATGGGGCTGAAACGCGGGTCGCATCGCATCGCATCGCAACGATAGCAACGGTCAGACCAGGGTGGCGCACTGGACCTCCTCGAGGATCCACCACCGACGCCACCTGGCCTGACAGCTCAC